TTCATTTTTGAAACAAGTAATCATGTAATTTATGCTCCTCAACTGTGAATTTTTCTTTGACACACCAATAACCACAGTCAATGACACTAACTCTACACTCCAGAGGGATCTCTAGATTCACCAATGGATGTTTAGCTCAAATGCTGCATGCACAAATGCTGTATTATTACCGAAAATTTACACAAATCTGAAATATGGATATGCAGAATTATAGCTCCCACAAAAACCATAATTCATCTCTGCTACACATACAAGATGTGCTATTTCCCATCACTCTATATGGTGTCATATATTAAGCCATAAAAACTTCATGCAACATGCTTGAGTTACAGTTGCTTGGGGGAACGTTGCTGAATTTCCTGGCTTCTATGAGCATAAGCTCTCAGCCATAAAGTTATATCACTACCATTTTTGGTCCCAGTTTTCTTTTAAAAGAAATAAATATGACTATAATTAAATACTTCAAAATACTAACTTTTCTTCAATGCTAAAGTAAATAGAAAATTTCAGCAGTATCTGTACTGACTTTCACACACCTCTGTACCTAGTCTTCCCTCCCTCCACTGCTATCAGAAACCACTTCTCTTCTGAAAAGCACACAGCAGGCCTAAGTTCTGACACAGCAGCCCTACATTGTGACATTTTAAGATTCAGCTATAGGAGAATGACCCAAATTAAAAACAGAATTTTTAAAGTACATTATAGTCCTAAAATGCTCACAAAACTAAGTATGATTAGATATTGAACTATATTAGCCATCTGGTAATAATTTAGTTTAGATAGCCAACTAAGGAGAATGTAGGATACCTGTACCCATTATAATGATTATTCACAAACAAGACAAAAGTATCAACAGATGATACAGTGTTCTACTGTTGTTACAAAGGAGGGATTATGGCAAAAGACTGGAGAGATGGTTCAGCAGCTGCTGTCTTCCAGGGGACTAGAGTTTGGTTCCCAGCACCCATGCCAGGCAGTTCACAATCACCTGTATGTAACTCCAGCTCCAGGGGATCCAACACCTTCTTCTGGCCTCCATGGGTATCCACACATACACGGTATACACACATGCATAGATATGCACACACATAAAAATAAATCTTAATAAAAAAAGCAAACATTGTACAGTAAAGTTACAGTAAGGAAAACCAACTGTATCATGTCACGAACATTAGCAGATTCCAAAGTAAAATAGAACTTCAAGGAAACAAGTCTGACTAAATGGAACTTTATAAATTTCACACACTTTATTATGTAAAAACAAGTAACAATAACCCAGAATCCACATTATAAAATGTCAAATCTAGGGCCCAGAGAGATGGCTCAGTGGTTAAGAGCACTGGCTGCTCTTGCAGAAGACCCGGGTTCGATTCCCAGCACCCACATGGTAGTTAACAACCATATGAAACTCCAGTACCAGGGGATCCAATACCTTCTTCTAACCTCCACGAGCACTGCATGACACAGGTGCACTTACGTACATGCAGGCAATATACTCATACACTAAAATTTAAAAAATGTCAAATCTAAACATTTAAGACTTGACATGTTTCCAGTATCACCAATATTGCACCTAAGAGGCTAGCTAAGGTTTTCACTATCTACCATGTCAACTAATGGTCATCTTCTCCCAACTTAACAGGACTTGATTTTAAATAAGTCACAGCATCCTCAGAGATCGGCACAAACACCCTATGTACAGAGGTGCTATGACAAAGTCCCTAATCCCTGAATCAGTCAGCAATATACATAGTACATACACCCCTACCCCAACCCTGGGTGATGAAAAAAAAAAAAAAAAAAAAAAAAAAAAAAAAAAAAACCCTAACAAAGCCCATTCCAAATCAGTAGAACTAGTTGTGGAGTAAAGTTTAAACAGCTAGCTAGTCAAAAAGTTCCACTTGTCTGGCTGGTTTTGCTGTCTAGAAGAAGGCTAGAAAATGATTCTGGAAAAAAGACCTATTTCCCTGCACTGAGGCCATGACAGAAAACACCATTCAGAGTAACTCTTCTAAGACCATTGTACACCAAAGTATTCCATGAAGGAGAGTTCTACTTAGAGCCTAAAAGGATAAATTAAGAACAATTCCTAGAAAACAGAAAGGAAATAACATATCCAAAAACAGAAGCAGTACTTAAGTGATAGAAAAGTTATTTCTGTAAATCTCACAAATACTTTGACAACTCAAAGACAGTGTAAGGATGTCTTAGAAAAAAATGACTTCTCCAGAAACAATTGCACTTTTAAAGAATCAGGGTGGGCTAGTGCACTTTCAGTTCACGGGAGAAGTTGGATAGCAAGCGAAGACATACTTCAATGCTTGGGGAAGCACTCTAGCTCTACAAGGCCCAATATGGTGCCACCAAACACATGTGGCAAGTCAACACTTGCCTTGGGGCTACAACTTGGGGATCAAATTTTCAATTATATTTATTCAAAAATTAAATTCCTTTGTAACTTTTTTTAAATTTATTTTTATTTTACGTGTATGAGTATATTGCTTGCACATATGAAATGCACAGATGTCATGTAATGCCTGTGGAGGTCAGAAGAGGGACTTGGATCCCTTGGAAATGGAGTTATGGACAGTTGTTAACCACCACATGGGTGCTGGGAATTGAACCCAGATCCTCTGCAAGAGCAGCCAGTGCTCTTACCCACCGAGCCATCTCTCTAGTCCCCTTTGTCACACATATTAAGGGCTCAAGAGCTACATGTAGCAAGTGGAGATCACAGATACACCATACTGAGATTGCCACAGAAAGTTGGAAGACTGTTATTTAGACCCTTTCTGATACTGAAGATCCTTTCTGATACTGCATTACAGAGGCCCTAGACCAAACTCCTCCCGCAGAACAAAATCTGGTGAAAAAGACATAACTAAGAATAAAGAAAGGTAAAGTGGTGTTATGGGGTGGGAAAGCAGAGCATGATGGGGCTGGCTGCACTCAGAACACCACCTTCACTTATTAGGAGCACTGACACACAGGGCACTTAAAAAGGCACAAGTATGGGCAACATAGCTATAGATTCTTGTCCCAGCTATAGACCCTTGAACAAGTTACTGATCTTGCTCTATCTTTATCTTCTCCCCTATAAAATGGGGGTAATGCGCGCTAAATTACAATATAAAGTATCAGATGAGATGAGAGATAAATGAGTCTCTCTCTGTCTCTGTGTCTCTCTCATCTTTTTGAGACAGAGTGAGTCCCTGGCCTGGCCCTCACTGTGTAGACCAGAGTCCTCTTGCCTCTGCCTCCTACCTGCTTCGATTTAAAGGCGTGTGCCACCACACCCAGAAGTATTTTCTAAATTGTTATTTTTTAGGACCTCAAACAGGGGAAGGTGAGGAACTGAGACAGCTTCACAAAAGTCTGAGATACTGACAACTTCCAGATGATCAAATAAGTTCTATTGGACAGAACTCTGCAGAGGCCACTGGCAATTTTCTCATGTCCACAGATATTACAAATATTTCAATGGCACAGGGGAGTACAGAGGTGGCTCTGAGAGCCCCAGGGTCTACCTCCCAACTGCCTATAAGGCTAAGGGTTCTCATGGGGCTGGAGAGGTGGCTCAGCGGTTAAGAACACTGACTGCTCTTGCAGAAGACCCAGGTTCAAATTCCAGCACCCACATGGCAGCTAACAACTGTCCGTAACTCGAGTCTCAGGGGATCCGACAGTCTCTTCTGTTCTCCGCAGACATTGCACGTCACAGGTACACTTATCTACATGCAGGCAATACATGCATACACATAAAATAAAAATAATAAAATTTAAAAAAAAAAAAGACTAAGGGTTCTCTAAGTACTGCAAATCATAACTGAGAGCCTAGAGGACTGGAGTCCAGACTCTCAAAAGAATTGAAGGTTGGTGCCTGCCATGCTGGCTGGAGCCTCACCAGTTCACCACACATAGTAGAGAACACACATGAAGTTACTTCCCACTGAGCTTTGCTTCTTCAGTCATCTGCTAAGAAACTCACCATTGTATGAGTTAGCAGAATAGGTGCCCATCTGTCCCCATCAGGTTGCAGCAACGCTGAAGGCAAAGATCAGCTGAGCAGTAACAGCTCCCACTCAGCACTTCTACTGGAGGCCTACACTGTGCCTACAGCACCGTAAAATGCTCATTGGGTCATCCCGATTACTTTTCACCATAGTCGGTCTCTGTGAACCCCAGGTTTTCCCCATCTACAAAATTCCTACTTCAAGCATGCCTTTAATCCCAGCACTCGAGAGGCAGAAACAGGCGAATCATGAACCTCTGTGAGACAGAGACCAGCCTGATCTACACAGTGAGTTCTAGTCCAGCTGTAGCTACAGGGAGAACCTGCTTCAAAAAGATTTTTAAAATCCTACTTCAAAAGATTCTGAGACTCTGAAAAACATATACAAAAACCAAAAAACTGCCAGGCCTGGTGGCTCACACCTTTAATCCCAGCACTGAAGAGGCAGAAGCAGGCAGATCTCTGAGTTTTCCGCCAGTCTGGTCTACATAGTGAGTTCCAGGCCGGTAAGTACTGCTATCCTTGTCTTGTGCCCCTTTTACAGATGAGAAATGCAGAGGCCCGGGGAGATGAAGAAATTTGCTCAGTATCACAAAGTGGTTGCACGGGACTCGCGATGTGGGCAATCCCACCAGGGACCACTGGCTCTTACTCCCAATGTCCAGCACAGGGTCTGGCACAGAATGCTTCCAGCCCTGAGCACAACCAAGATCAAAACTGGTGCAAGTGGCAGGAGGAGCTTGAGAATTACAAGTCTGGTCACCTGAGTCGTGGTCCCTGGAACGTCAAATAAGTACATTACACCTTCCAGGGACCTCAGTGTTCCTTCTCCATGAAATGGAGCAACACGGTCTCCAATCTCAGAAGCGCGATCAGAGTCCCAGGCCTGCAAAGCCAGGCTTACTGAAGAAGCTAGAGGGGGTTTGGGGGAGTAGGTGGGAGAAGACACCCCTGGTAAGGCCCGGAGGGTGGGAAGGGGGGTGATCACCTTTGCGGAGCTCGCGGTGCCACACGGAGACGATGGGTCCTGCGTGCTTGCGATGGTGGATGAGCCACAGAGACAGAGTCTGCACGCTCTGCTGAGAGTTGCTCAGCTCCGAGAGCTTCTTCTCCAGCGCCGACTCGGAGAACGAGGACATAGTGGCGGCCGGGAGGAGCGGCGACAGCGTGTGCACACGGCCCGGGCCTCCCCTGACAGGCTGCGGGGCTCTCCGCCGACTGACAGGGGTGCCCGGCGGGGGAGGGGACGGGTCGCCGCAGTAACAGCCGCCCGCGCCGCCGCCACAAGATGGCCACCCGACCTTTCACCCCGCCGCCGCGGGGTCAAAGGCCAAGGGCCGCAGGCAGACGCCGGCGGCCTCGGAGCCGGGGGAAAAAGGGTTCCTGACGAAGCGGCAGCCTCTCTGGGCCTTGCCCAGGAGACTTGGAACGGGACAGACCGAGGAAACAAGTCCAGGTCCTCGGGCCCCGAAAGGCGATTCAGCCGCTCGCGCCCGCGCGCCGGCGCAGTGAGCCTCACGAGAACCCTTTCTCCCGCTCCTTCAGAACCTTTCTGGCGCGGTGCGGCGCTCTACTTATGCGTCACTTCCGGCGGGACGCTAGAGGCGGGAGAATGAGGGGAAGGCTGGAAGACCAGGTAAGGGAAGGGTGGCGGGAGCGAGAGGGAGTTGAGCTGCCCGGAGCGCCGGAGGAGGATGCTGAAGGGACACTAAGGCAGAGAGGGCGGGGCGACGGCCGCGGTGCGCACGTGGCCGGTGCAGGCCGCACCTCCCCCGCGCCTGTCCGCCCGGGTGGTGTGCCCTTTTCACGCCTGCACGCCTTGGCTCTGTTTCCCCAGAAATGACGCCCCTTTTCTCACCTGCTGCAACCCTGAGCAGCTCGTAGGACCACCAGCTCTGTGGTTTAGTCTGTGACAAGCGCCACCTCATGAAGCACATCTTTGTGCCCTAGGCTCTGGATTGATTGATGATTGATCGATTGATTGATTTGCTCAGGGAATTACATCCTTGCCCTCTTCCCGGTCCCAGTGCATCTGCTTACCTCCATGCTGGGAAACATTGTTTGAGATTAAACCCCTTTCCTATTTAAAAAAAATGTTTCTAAATGACAGTTACCAAATCTAAGAAATGTTCTTTATAACTGCTACGGGGGTTGTGGAAGTTTAAATTTTTGTTTTTTGGCGATGTTTGGTGGGTAAGAGTCCAAGCAAGAGGACTGAGTTCTGATCCCAGCAGTCACATAAGAAGCCCAGGGTGAGCCATAAAAAGCCCAGGGTGAGCCGGGTGTGGTGGCGCTTGCCTTTAGTCGCAGCACTCGGGAGGCAGAGGCAAGTGGATCTCTGTGAGTTCAAGGCCAGCCTGGTCTACCTATCGAGTTCCAGGCCAGCTGGGGCTATAGGGAGACCCTGTCCCCAAAAGACCAAAAAAAAAACCAAAAACCCAGGGTGGCCAGACTGAGTCTGTAACTCCAGTGCTGTGAGGGCTGAGACTCAAATTACTGGGTTTGCTAGCCACCAGCTCAGTGAAAGACCCTGTCTGAAAGGAATAAAGTGGAGAGTGGTAGAGGGCACCTGTTGACCTCCTCTGGCCTCAGCATACCCACACTAGACACACACACACACACACACACACACGATTATAGTTGATGAATTTCCTTGTTGTAGGCCCATGCCATCCTAGAAGACATTCTTATAGTTGATGTTTGCTTTTCTTAACTGCACTTCGTGTGCACGCATTGACCCTTCATCTGGACTAGAACATCATGATCTGAGCTAACACAGTGAGAAGTTGCTATGTGCTAGACACTTTTCATTTGTTCAACCCTCACAGCAAAGCTATGAAATATATATTCTTCCCATTTAACAAATGAGGAAACTGAAGGTCAGAGCGGTAAAGTGATTCCCTAACTCCCAAGATCATAAAGCTAAGATCCAAGGAAAGAGAGTATACCGTAGCCATCTGATCCCCAGATGCTGGAATCAAAGGCTGGGTTCATAGGTGATTGAGTCAACACAAAAATGAGTAGTCAATGAGACCACATCTAAACAGTCTCTCCATATTAAGAAAGTAACACTAGCTGGTCATGGTGGCACACACCTTTAATCCCAGCACTTGGGAGGCAGAGGCAGGCAGATCTCTGTGAGTTCAAGGCCTACCTTTTCTACATAGAGAGTTCCAGGCCAGCTGGGGCTACAGGGAGACCCTGTCTCAAAAAGATTTTTTAAAAAAGGAAAGAAAGACTCATGTAAGGAGGACATTTATAGTAGTCTGTATCCAGCATGTTACATACTTTAAAATTTTAATTCTTAGCAACAGTGCTATGGAATAGGGGATTATATCACTATTTGATAATGAGAAAACATAAAACATGAGTAAGTAACCTATCTAAAGTTATTTGGGTAAAACCAGGATTCAGTAAAGTTATCTGATCCCAAATTCTTCACATCTTCCAACAGAGGTTCCTTCATTCAGCAAGTAATTTTGTCACCTGTAGCTGAAGCAGTGTTCCAGGCAAACGGACAAAATATCCGTGTCCTAGGAAACTTGCCTTCTACTAGGGAAAAGAGAAAACTATGTAAGTGTAAAGTGAGTCAGAAATGATAAGGGCCTTGCGTAGAAATCCAGGAAGGTAATGGAGATGAAGAAGGCATATGTGGGTGAAACTGGAGTCTGTTATAGATGCTCCTCAGAGAAGATAAGGTAACATTTGCTCAGAGCCCTGAATGAAATGAGAAAAGAAGCTGTAAGCCAGCCTTCCAGGTCGAAGGAAAACCAGCTACAGACCCTTGTTGGCAATTGAGAGAACAAAAAGAGGATGAGAGCCAGTGGTGGTGGCCCACACCTTTAATCCCAGGACTCAGGAGGCAGAGGTGGGCAGATCTTTTGAGTTCCAAGCCAGTTGGGGCTATATAGTGAAATCTTGTCCTAAAAAAAAATATAAACAGCTGGGCGTGGTGACGCCAGCTTTTAATCCGATCAATTGGGAGGCAGAGGCTGGCGGATCTCTGTGAAATTAAGGCCAGCCTGATCTATATATCGAATTCCAGGCCAGCTGGGGTTACAGGGAGACTCTGTTTCAAAAGAAGAAAAAAAAACAAACCAAATATAAACAAACAAAACAGAAAACTGGATACTAAGACTAGAGTTGTAGAATCCAGAGGGTAGCTAGAAATGAACTCAGGAAGCCAGGTGTGGTGGTGCACTCCTTTAGTCCTAGCACTTGGGAGGCAGGCAGATCTCTGTGACTTGAAGGCCAGCGTCACATGATCAACATGTAGGCACTAGGAAGGACTCTGCTGTCCATGTGAGTCAGTTGGATGCACTCGATGGTCTACATTTGCATGCGTGCTTTGCCTACATAGTCAAAGCTGGTGTGTAGGAACTCATCATGATACACGGAAAGCAGGAAGACCAGTTTGCCAGCTGTTGTAATAACCCTGGTTAAAAAAAAAAAAAAAAATGACTCAGATCAGGACTCTTTCCGTGGAGGAAGTAAGAAAGGAAGATGTAACAGAATTTGCTGGTGAATTTGGATATGAAAGAAGGCAAGAGCTTAGATGGCCCCAGGAATATTAGCCTACACTATTGTGAAAATCGAGTTTTTATTTACTGATTTTAAAAAAGGTGGACATGGTTGATTAAAAATATTTACCTAGGAGGCTGGAGAGATGGCTTAGCAGTTAAAACCATTGGCTGCTCTTGCAGAGGACAGGGGTTCCCTTTCCAGCACCTAGATAGCAGCTAACAGCTATCCCTAACTTCAGGTCCAGGGAATCCAACGCCCTCTTCTGGCTTCCACAGTCATTGCATGACACAAATTCCCTTACATACATGTAGGCAAAACACTCATACTCAAGATAAAAAATAAATTTTAAAAAATGTAATGCTTATCTAGGAACAGTCACTACTCAGTGTCTTATGGAATTGGTTCTAGAACACGTGCCCCCCACATACACAGATACCACACTCCACTGATGCACACACACCCCCACATACACAGATGCCACATACCACTGATGCACACAGCACCCACACACACAGATGCCACACTCCACTGATACAGCCCCTCCACACACACATGCCACATTCCACTGATACAAACAGTCCACTCACACACACATGCCACATTCCACTGATGTATACAGCCCCACACACACACAGACGCCACACTCCACAGATAGACACAGCCCCCCCACACACATACAGATGCCAAATTCCACTGATGCACACAGTCCCCACACACACACAGATGCCGAACTCCACTGATGCACACAGCCCCCCCCACACACACACAGATGCCATCCCATCTGTGTCCAGCCCATCTCAGCTGAAAGTACTGAAAGTATACACATTCAGTACAATTGCAGGCTTTTTTTCCTAAACATTTTTTATCTGTGCTTGGTTGAATCAGTGGTTTGGAGCAGTAGTAGGGGTTGGATGTAGGACCATAAGTATGCTAGGCAAGCGCTAAACCACTGAGTATATTTCCAATCCCTTTTGTTTGTTTCCTGAGATAAGATCTCTCTCTCTCTCTCTCTCTCTCTCTCTCTCTCTCTCTCTCTTTCTCTCTCTCTCTCTCGCTATATATATATATATATATATATGTGTGTGTGTGTGTATGTATGTATGTATATAGGCTAGAGTGGTCTCAAACTCTTGTACTTCAGCTTCTTGAATGTTGGATTATAAGCCTATGTCACCACGCAGAAGATATTTTTGTTTTTATTCATTTCTAGGATTTTTTTGTTTGTTTCTCATGAGGCTTCCTCTGTTCCATGGGCATGGTCTACTTACCAGATTTGTGAGGATTCACCCGGTACCTCTCTGAGTGATTTCAAGCTTGATCCCATTGTGATTGGAGAACATCCTCTGTATGATTTCAGTTCTTTTACATTTTTGAGGTTTGTTTCATGGTCTAGGAGATGGCCTGTCTTACTATGTATTTTTTCTGTGAGAAAAGAACGTACGTTCTGCTGTGGTGGTGATGGTGGAGTGTTGTATCAGTAGCACAGACCCTGTGGGTTGATGGTGGTGTTGAGTTCCTCAGTGTCCTTGCTGGTCTTCTGCCCAGTTGTTTGTCCTTTGTTGACAGAAGAGTGAGAATGTCCCCACCTGTGCTTATGGGTTTGCCTTTTCATTTGTTTCACACATTTGGTGATGTGTTTTATGCATATCATTTTAAAGTGCTATGTCTTCTTAGTAGATTTATTATTAAATTATTACATAATGTTACTCTCAGTCTCTGGCAACTTTCATCTGAAGTCTGTATCTATTGCTTTAATTAACATTTGCATAATGCCTTTTCCATCCTTTTACCTTCAACCTTCCTAACTGTTATGTGAAGTTAGTTTCATGTATATAGTCTGTATAGTTAGATCATGTTTTTAAACCCACTTTGACAATCTCTGTCTTTTAATTTGTGTATTTATACCATTTACATTTAATGTAATTATTGATATGGCAGTGCTTAAGTTTACCTTCTTGTTTGTTTTCTCTTTGTTCTGTTTTTCTGTTATCTTTTTCAGACCCCTCATGTGTTACTTGACTACTTTTTAGAATTTCCTTTCATTTAGTTATAATGTTTTGGATATCCGTTTGTAGGTAGCATTTTTTTTTTAATATTTTTTTATTTATTTTTATTTTATGTGTATGAGTGTATTGCCTGCATGTATGTGAGTCTACCTGTGTCGTGCAGTGCCACAGAGGTCAGAAGAGGACATCAAATTCCCCGGTACTGGAGTTAAGGACAGTTTGTAGCCGCCATGTGGGTGCTGGGAATCGAACCTGGCTCCTCTGCAAGAGCAGTTAGTGCTCTTAACCACTGAGCCATCTCTCCAGCCCCTTGTAGGTAGCCTTTTTTGCCTTGTTGCAGCCTGCCATTTCTAGGTAGGAGAAAGGCCAAGCAGGAAGCAGCAGAACTTCAGAGGATGCTGAAGGTTTGGCATGTATCTAGCTGCTTTTGCTTATTTCTTTTGGGGGGGTTGACAGGGTGTCCTTGTAGCCCTGGCTGGCCTGGAACTCACTACATGGACCAGGCTGGCTTCAATCTCACAGAAATCCACCTGCTTCTGCTTCCAGTGTGCTATGATGAAAGGCATTAAAGGCATGTGCCACCACACCCAGTTTGCTTATCTTAAGCAGTGAGCTAGGGGATCCCAGGCAAAGCTGCAGCTCTAAATGAGTGTCACCTGTATTGGTCATTTGAACCCAAGACAGCATCCAAACACCCTGAACATGACTGACAAATGGAATGCGGAATTGCTTGTGTCATGCAGCTCCTGTTCTTTAGAAGGGGAGCCTATAGACTACGTATTACAGGACTCCTACTCCTTGCCGACCTTGTGAACTTTTAAAGCCATAGATTCCTAAGCATACCAACCCCCTCAAAATAAATTACGATTCAGTAAATCTGGTGTAGAGCCCAGGAAGCTGAACTTGAATTGTTGCCCCTTGATTCTGATGAACAGCCAGGCAGGGAGGCAGGGAAACCCTAATGTAATGCAAAGAGTATTCATCCTTTGGAGTCAGGCTTGGCAAATCCCATGTCTGCCATCTGCTGGCTGTGTGGGCCTCACTTCACCTCTCGAGGCTTGGACTCCTCAGCTTGTGGATAGGAATTTATAAACGTAAAACACCTAGCATGGGGGCTGAGGAAAAGGCTCAGTCAGTAATGATACCAGCTGCACAAGCATAAGGACCTGAGTTCAGATCCCCAGCACCTATGTAAAAAGCCAGGGGCCTTGGTTTGTAACCCTAGCTCTGGAGATGGGTGGGAGGTGAAGACAGGTAGATCTCTAAAGCTCACTGACCAACCAGTCTGGCAGAATCAGTGAGCTTCAGGTTCAGTGAGAGACTATGTCTCAGAAATAAAAGTGGAGTGCAGTTGAGGAAAGATAGCCTATGTCAACCTCTGGCCTCCATACACATGTGCAGATACATGCATTCACTCCCTTAGAGCCCTACTTAAATCAAGAGGACTTAAGATTTCCCAAAAGGAAAGCTCAAAATTTTGGAATGAAGTATTTCAATTCGCACCCTGGATCCTGTCGGCAGACATTTCTGACCCAGAAGTCTGGACCAACATTGCCTATCTGGCTCGTAAAAAGGAAATCCAGGAAAGGCACCATTTGCCCCTTTCCTTTCTCCCCATGATAGCAGCCATTCAACAATGCTTAGGAAACCCACCTAAGGCTGAGGAGAACTTACTACCACCAGGGGATAATAAAGGGGAGGGTTCAAACAATGAAAAAGACCCTAAAGATTTCCTAACAGCAGATTTGACAGCCCTAAAAAATAATGAAAAAGACCCTAAAGATTTCCCAACAGCAGATTCGACCGCCCTAAAAAATAAAGAAAAAAATCCTAAATTGCCCGACTAGCTCAGTCAATAGAGCATGAGACTCTTAATCTCAGGGTCGTGGGTTTGTGCCCCACGTTGGGCGCCAGCTGTGGGGTCGCTCCCTTTCCTCATGGGTCAGTGGCTGGCCACCGTTCCACCAGCACAAAGGGAGCAGAAGCAATTGAGCGGGGTCAGGACGGCCAGTGAGCACTGACAAAAGAAAGCCCTTCCAGGAA